AAAAAAAAAAAAAAAAAAAAAAAACCACTGCTATTTTCTAGGGAAACAGAAAAACATACGTAAAATCCTCAACTTTGGCTATTTCTCCTACTCCCATAAACCGAGGTTGATCTTACCTATTTAATAAAGCCCAATATTAGAAATGTGAATGAAATGTTTTTGACTATACCACTTCTAAACCTGTAGGTCACATACTAAATGATTTTCCAAATTATAGGTGAATCTAATTTGACAAAATCCCTGTAGTGTTATTTAGTGGGGGGAAGTAGACTCGGGGCGCACACATGCACACACGCACACACGCCAACATCTTAACTGACCTTCTTAAACATTGGCTAGTTCTCCAGAAAGAATCAAAGTATTTATGATCAAGCCGCAGCATGTGTATAAGGGGCAGCAATGTTACCTTTTTTAGTTCAAGGTAAGAATCTGACTAAACTTTTAAACTACTAGTACCTTGAACCACGCTTTACCAAAGATGAACTCTAAAATACATATTCTTTGAAATTTGGATTCGACTGCCTGTTGCACTTTTACATTAAGTGTTGCTTAAACAAAAATAGAGCGTAAGTTCAATATTCTACTGTCTAAACATTTAAAGCAATGGTTTTGTCATCAACAGGTAAAATGCACCTAATTTGGGTCTTTTGACACCTCTTGTTTTAAGTTTACTGTATGATAAAGTTCTTCACAGTTTAAAATATTGTGAAGAAATATATTTATGTATAACTATATTCACATACATATTATGTACACATACTATGTATCTGATGTACCCATAAACTTTGACTATGTGTGTGCCAGAATGACACCACACACATATGTAGGAACCCTGAATAACAGATTGGTGTGGACTGTGATAGGATTTCTAAGAAATGCTTACAAATCAGAAAAGATTATTATAATGAATAATTATAGTAACAAAAAGTTTTACCTTATTTACATAGTGCCTATCTCCCAAGAGGTAAATATGCTTTACATTTTTAGTATCTCTGTGAGATGGGGCATTGGGAACACTATCAATTCTCATTTTCCATAACCAAGTAACCTGCCCGGGGTCATACTTTTAACAGTGGCAGAGTAAAACACAGACAAGGAAATCTCTTAACCTACAAAGTCTCCAATTAACAGATCAAATAGTCTTGTGGTAAAATCAAATTTCTATCATACAATAGAACTTCTACCACAAAGGATTAATTTTTAAGTCCTCATATACTTGTGACTGCGCATTGTATGTATACCACAGGGAGATCAAAATAGTTTTTGGTTTTGGCAGATGAAAGTGTCTAACATTCAGTGTAACTATAATTCAGTGTAACTTCTCCAGTTTAAGTGCGACACAGCTGATTGGTCTATCAGGGAAATGCGGTCACTGTCTAATCATGGCTGGAAAAAATCTCAATCCAAACAGCTACTGCATGACTAAGAGATAGCCTACAATCTTGTATTGTCTTAAAGGTGTTTTGTATCTCCACATATGGTACAGTATACACATATAAATAAGCATTTTAGCACAAAATGTACAGTTAGCATGACTCAGTTCATGTTTAAACAACAAAGGCCTTAGGGGTGAACTTTAAAGGCCAAGAGCTCCTCAGAGTGCATGTTGTTTAAAGATCGAAGATCTGGCAACTTTAGAAGAAGTTTTGTAAAAATAGAGGCCTCGTTTGGGTGGTTTTTCATTGTTAAGGTCCTTAGTGCACGGATGAGGGTTTCCTGCAAAGCCTCCACAGAGTTGACATTTTCTATTCCAGATCGATCTAATGGAGAGTAAGGAATAGAGAAACAGGAATGAGAGGATACGTTATTAACATTAAATATAAATGTAATTCTTGCTCATCAATCTCATTAATGAATTCAAAACAAGGTTTTATACATTGGAACACAGGCAAAAGATAATTGACAAAGTTTTTAAAATCCCAATGGCAAATTTTTGTAGCTATTTATTATAAAGATATACATCACATAGTACACTTGATAAATCAAAATCGTTTAGTGCTTAAGTATTTTTGTTCACAAAAAAACTAGAGGTTCTGATTTTTAACATTAGATGCCATCTGCTCGTTTCAACTGCTCCTTATTAGCAAAATAAAATGAAAAGTGTAGTTGAGAAATACATTTTCACCTCATATGGAATACAACCACATTTGTCTGTTACCACATGTGGCAGGCAGCCTCTAAAAGAACCTCCAATGATCCCTTCATCCTAGTATCCTGGTCCTTGTGTATCTACCACCCCTCTTCCCCTGAGTGGGCTAGACTTCCTGACTCACCGCTAATGAACAAAAAAATCAGATTACCAAAACAACTGTAGCTTTCATCTTAGGCACTTGCAAAGCCAGATGCCATGCTGTGAGTTGCCCTATGGAGTGGCCCACATGCTAAGGAACTGAGAGTGGTCTCCAGCCAAAAGCAACAAGGAACTGAGGCACTCAGTCCAACAACGTGCAAGGAACTGAATCCTACCAACGACAATATGAATAAGCTTGGAAGCAGACTCTTCCTCATAGAGCCTTCCTATGAGGCCACAGTCTTACCCAGAGCCTAACTACAACCTCCTAAGAAACCTCGAGCCAGAGGCACACATCTAAGCCATACCTGTATCCCTAACTCTCTGAAACTGCAGGAAGTAAATGTATACATATTTAAGCCACTAAGTTTTAGGGTAATTGGTTATACAGTAATAGATAGCTAACATGCCATGCAACTTGAATACCTAGTTAAATTAACCTGTATTCACTTTCATTTAGCATACTGTGTTTATTAAGCTCATCATACAAGTGTTAATAAGTGGTGTAAAAACAGCAATAAAAGAAAGTATCTTAAAATTTGCCAAACCTATGTTGTTTGCCCACTGACTTTTTTCATCAGCAAGGGCTATTTCTTCCCTTTACAATAGGAGGCAGTAGTATGCAAGAAATAGTCAATGGCTCCCAGTACAGGGAGTTGTAATTAATAAGAAAAAGACTTCTCCAAGGAAGCAAAACTCTCTGGCCATTTACACCCTCTTTTCATTTTCACAAGGAGACTGAGGCAGTCTTCCACTGTTACTGGCAGCTTAACAAGGTAACGTGCAAAACAAATACTCAGAACACGGACTAAAAGTTTAATAGTAAAGGGAAGAGGTGTGATTAACTCTAAATGCAGAAAAAAATGAAAATAGACTCACAGATGCCATTTAATAAATCTGATCACTATGTGCCAATTCTTACAGAAAAAGAAACAAGTTGGTGGCTACTGATTTGAACTGTATGGTAATTCTTATGAAGGAAACGTAAATGAAGATAGCCCAGTTCCCAGCACGGAGCTCTGCCTCACCCCCGGCCCCAGTCCTCCCTCTGCGTATCTCGGGAAGCAGCCCTCCTCCTCCACCTCCCCTGCCACAGCCCACTTCAGAAGCACTCACTCCACTGCCTCATACCTAAAGTTATTCAAAGCCTCTCAGCCTGACTCTGCAGCTCCAGTGACTCACCTGCCTAATCCACCTGCCATAACGCAGAAGTGATGTTAAAGCATCACTTTGTTCGTGCCTGGTCGTTCCTCTCCAGAGGAAGTGCCACTGACTTTCTGCTGTCCCATTTAGTTATTACTTCTCTGCTTAGTTCTCACAGCTGCCATTCCATGACCTGGTCCTTCCCTAACTTGTAAGCCTTCTGGACCCTCTTCCTTGACGTACACATCAGGTTTGTCCCTTCCCCTGCCCTACCTCGTGTTTTCCCACACCATTCCATGATTTTTTTGCTGGGAAAACCTAAAAATTCACCTTTCAAATTCTAGCTCCACCTCCATCTTCCCCACAAAGCCCATCTTCCTTCCTGTAACTCTTATTTACCTCAGTCAAAACCACACCATTTAGTAGATGAAGCTGTCTGTATTACTTCTGTCTCTCCAAATAGAATATAAATACTTTGAGAGCAAATTTGTGGTTTAATGTTCTGTCTTCCCCTAAGCACCTAACACATAAGGCATATTCATCAGACAAAGAAATTAACAAATATGGATTATCTTTAGTTTCACAATAATCGATTCACTAATCTTAAGTCCACTCAAACCATTACTAATTACTTATCAAGAAACTGTAAAAAGGTAAAGTACAAGAGGCATTACAAGGTTACTGAGAGAGCAGGTATCCCTTTCCTGACACAGTCCTTCCATTCCTTCCATACTATCCCTATGTCAGAAGTGCATTTTTAGCTACCCAGGTAGAGCTGATCAGAAAAAGTAGCCAAATTACACTTCCAAATGGCCTGAGTCTTTACTTACACCACTGATGTACAGGTCCCTTTACAATACACAAAGAACTTACTCTCTTAAGAGTTACTGATTTATAGTTTAGCCAAATAACCAAGGCCACAACTTATACTTTCACAGTGCCCAGCATATTTATACAGTTGGAAGCAAATGGGAAGCTTTAAGTATGTCATATACTATAAAATTCTCAATAAATGTTTTAAAATAAAGTTAGTGATACCTAAAAGTGGCTGGCAGTTATTTATATGTCCCCAGGAAAGTACTGTCTCGATTTCAAATTTGCTATTGGGAGTAATCTTTATCTTAATAGCTATTGTCTAAATTGAAATACTTTGATCAAAAATAACAGCAATATCAATGCAAGGTAGGGAAATTGAGAAACATCATCAATGACTCTCATAAGTAAATATTAAATGTTAGGATTCAAAAATCTTGGTCACTCATTCAAACAGTAAATGGCCCCATGCTAGGCTCACATGATACAATCCTTGCCTTGCATAGGATGAGAAAACCAAGACCCAAAAGGATAAAAGTACTTATACCCAAGTCACACATAAAATTCAGTGGCAAAGCTGGGTGAAAGCCTACAACTGAAAATTCACCAACTGTTGTAACCACACTAATACATCCTGATACTTCCAACAAGTAATGCACATATTATTTTAATTAAAACTTAGATTCATATTAAAACCACCTACCTGGAGAAACGCAATGTTCCAAAAATAAAATAATGATTTAAACTCATAAAAAATCATTAACAAGAGCTAGACTAAGAGTAGTAAATATGAGGCCCAGCTCTAAACATCATTTTATTACTATATAGCACTTTTGACTTTCACTGACATGATTTAAAAATAATTATGCAAAAATAACAGATTGACATTGCTTAGCATCTTCCTTAAGGCCTCCTTCCCTCCACAGAGCTTGCTGGAACCTCATTAACCTGCCACCTTCTCCCTAGTTGGTCATTATACTCTAGATGGGGCACAGTTTTGAACCAGCTTGCTTACCTGCAGATACCAGGACAACTGCTGTAAACAAACTCATCTCTTCATCACTAAGCTGGAGGGCATTCAGCTTCTCACTAAACTCAAACATAGAGTTCAGCAGATCCCCGGCTCCCATTGAGTGCAAGTCATCCACACTATACTTCTTTCCACTTAAAAAAGTGACAGTACGCTCCTTTGCATCAAATAATGAAGCAAACCGTACCATTAAAACCTGGAAAAAGAAGACGACTTACATGTATTTGGAGAAGTTCAACAGCAAGGCTAAGAATTGCCTCAGCACTCAAGTCAGTTAAGAAACATTCTACATATAAAAGAAAGCTGTAAGGGAAAAATTGAGTTTATTTACCCCAAATCATTTCTTTAAGGCAAGCTCTCACCAAAGCAATAAATATTCCAAGAAGATAAAAAAAAATTCTAGCCACCAGTGGCAAAATACTTAAGTCCTGTGATACCCTGCAACTCTATCAATAAAGATTCTGAAATGCAAATACAAAATTAAAGCAGGCAATAATGCCAAGAAATCTGAAACTGGGCCTTGGCCAAAGGCATTAAAGAAACTCTTTAAGCTACCAAATATATCTCATGGTCTCTAAGCCCTAAGTAAAAAGAGCAATATTTCAATGCAGCAACACTTGGAAACATCAAAACACCAAATGTAGCCAAGGCAAACACAGCCGATGAACTCTAATTAGACCATTTCAAGAAATCATAGCCCAGCCCGGCCGGGCGTGGCTCAGTGGCTGAGCTTCGACCTAGGATCCAGATGATCGGGGTTCAATTCCTGGTCAGGGCACATGCCCGGGTTGCGGGCTCTATCAATGACTCTCTCATCATTGATGTTTCTATCTCTCTCTCTCTCCCTCTCCTTTCCTCTCCCTGAGATCAATAAAGATATATTTAAAAAAAGAAAAGAAATCATAGCCCAAAGAGACAATACACAAAGAAAACTATTTATAGTAGTAAAAATGTTCTAGACACCAAGTTATAATTGAAATCTGAACCAAACCAGTCAACTGCTTACCCACAGCACTCCCTCCACTATACTAAATGGTGACATCTGTCACATATTTCTCTCAGCGGAACACTGAACCACCTTCTCTTTGCAATGCTCCCAAGCAAAAACTTGTTTTACCCAAGACAATCCAAAAGCGGCCAAGTCTTCTATGAAGATGGTGCTGCCTCGAACACAGTAATCCCAAGCAAATCACAAGGCAGAAAGAACAGGAAAGAACACAAGTCGTGGAGTTAGGGGTTTGTATCTAGCCCTGTTACAAATTTACTGGTAATCCAGGAAAAGTCTCTCCACCTCTCTGGGCCATAGTTACTTACCCTCAAAAATGGGTGAATTGAACTTGATCACTGACTCACCTTCTGGCTTTAAATCTTAAGTGTAATGTTTTCCTTTATGCTGAAAATCCTAACCTGTAGGTGTTACTTTTGAATCACACCATTGATATTTCATTCATGAATATGGCTTCTTCTCTATTCTAGGCCAGGTGCCTCAGAAAACAGAGCCTAAGGCAAAAGTTTATATGGGGTGTGCACTGGCACATGTGGAAACAAGAGTGAGAAAAAAGGAAATGGGACAGGGAAGCAAAGAGAGCAATTAGCAGTACTTACTGAGCCAGCCACCACGTATCAACAACAACTAAAAACAATCACGTGGGACCATTAGGCAGAAATGGCTCCCTACTCCGCCCCCCATCAAAGATTTCACCCACCAAACATCAACTTCCCACCTACGTTTCAAACAACGCATAAGTGAGCTCCAAGCAAGTCATGAGGTTTCTCACACCTCAGCATCAACAGGGAGGCCATGAGGCAGTCAGGTGAGAGGCACCTAGGCACCTAACTTAAGCACAAGGAGAGGCACTGTCTGTGTCCTAGTGAAGTTGGCAACAGGAGTTGCCCCAAGCCCAGGAAGAAGGAATCACAGCAAGAGAAGCTGGAGTAGAAAAAGTAGCCATGGATTCTGGAGGTGAGGCCAAGAAAATCTGAGCTGCAACGGGAGAGATGTCTGACACATCTGCCAAATACAGGGTGGGGCAAAAGTAGGTTTACAGTTGTGTGCACAAAACACAAGTTATTGTCATATTATTATTTACTAATTATTGTATTATTTTCCATACGAACACCTGTAAACCTACTTTTGCCCCATCCTGTATTCCATAATCTCCTAAAAGACAAAAACCACATTCTATTTACCCTTCGTATTCTGTACATAGTCAACTCCAGGCTAGGCTTTCAGTAGGTGTCCACCACTCTGCAGGATCCACCAAGACCACATCTAAAAGCAATACTAGAACCTGAAGTTCATATGCTGGGAATACAGAGCATTTATATTTCAAGTCCTAAATAACTGCATTTACCTAGTCTCTTTCTCAAGATCCTGAGATGGTCATTCTTTTGTTGGTAGTTTCAGCCTCTGGACTATAAGTACTCATTCAGAAAAAAAGTAAAATGTGCATGAAGATAAAATACTACATGCCCTGGATCCATACTCAAGATTAGCAAAACCTACCTCAAAAGTGCCAGCTTTTAGAAGGTTGACCTGGTCGTGCTGAGAGAGATCTCTGAATCCAGGAATGCGCTTTGCAAATTCCACCACTTCTTTCACTGCTGGGGTGAAGCTCATTGAGAATTCTTCCCAGATTTCATGCCCTGATTTGTGAGGATCCACATATGGAGACTTACTCATTGGACAAACCTAGCATGCACAAAACAGAAACACTCTTAAATTGTGAGAGGTGGTAAAGAAATTTCAGAAGTGGCATCTTAATCACTGGAAATGTCGATGTGAAAATAACCCTGAGATGCTAATAGCACTTTCTTTTTAGCTCTTCTACCTTATGACAGAAAGCCTCACAGCAACCTAATTTAAGCAGCAATTAACTTGTTACCATGAAAGAGCCAGCCAAAAGTGAAAATGAGATCTATAACAAGCTATTTCAAGAACCCACTGCACAGGTTGAAGAGTTTATTTTGTAATACTGTTGCCACCTTATGCTGGCTTCATGGTTTTAAAAAAAAGTTCACACATATTTACTTGATTCTCAATCCTATTAGTTACAGCAGATATTATGATTCCATTTGTTGGATGAGAAAAGGAGACGCTAAGAAGTTTAGTGACTTATCCAAGTACACCTAGAAGTCACAGGCCTAGAACCCAAGTCCACATTTAGTTATTATTTCAAAACTCACTGTTTTCTAAATGGGCACAATTACAATGTTGTAATTTCAAAGAGGAAAAGAGAGAAGCCTCACTTTTTAAAAGGGTCACTAACCATTTATTTTATAACTAATGGTGTGAGCACTGACCTCCACTTAAGTCAATTAGGAAGCAATGACTGGAGATACAACTTCTCAATGAGGACTGGGGAGGAAAAAATAGGAAGCTAAAGAAGGCATAAAAGCACTAAAAAGATTAGGAAGTATGCACTATAAACTCTATTAGTAAAATCAGCCTTTAAATTTCCACTAAATCGAAGAGATCTAGAAATGAAATGACTCTGTTACCGTGATTTTTTCCCTCCTTAAGGCAGCCACTAAATCTAAGAAAATATAAGGTCACCTTTCAGATCCATGGGATCAAATACTAGCAAGTGACCAAAAAATCTAACATAAGAATTGGGGTATAGTAAACTATTTTGAAAATATAAAAAAGGCTTTAATTACCTGGCTGTGGAAAATACCAAGCACTATCAAAGGACCTCGTGATTTAAACTGGAAATGGTGCAGTACTGATGCTTTTGATGAAATTTTGGCTGAACATAAACACTGTACTTTCATGTAGACTGTTGTATTTGATGAAAAAACTTGAATGATATGAACATTAATTCATCTCATAGGATGAAGTCTGAGAAAATCCTTAGAAGCTGCCTATTAAAATATTCCTAAAATCTCACACAGTAAAACATCCATGTTCTATATCCAAAGACCTTTTTTCCTTATAATGGTTAAAGAAAACTCTTTCCATAGAAATCAAGGAATTACTGACTGTGGCAAGCTAAAAGATGAGCCCTTAGAGAAAACCCCAAAGCTAGTAAAGTAGTGATTAATTAGAATGCTTAAATTTTGAAAGGGATTTCTAAGAATTAAAGGACTAATTCTGCATGATCCATATTTTACATAAAATCCTAATGCCAAAGTATCAATGAAATCACATGCTTGTACCTAACTGTGAAATTAGGTCATTCAACAAATGATGCTTATTAAAAGTATTTGACCTAAAATACTGCACAGAACTGATTCTGTAAATCTCTTGGGTTTTCTGACACCCCCCTCCCACCCTTGAATTTGGTACATTCCCCAAATAGAAGAAAACCTTCAAAGTTTTCCTTGATACAAGGTGAGCAAAAAAAATTGATTTCACTATACCAGATGCATTCTCCCTCCATTGTTGCACAGGTAACTATTCTTGTTCTCATTCTGAGAAAATCCATCTATCGAAACTCTATCACATACTCTTTGAGTATAAGCATTGGAGAAGTTCATACAATGTCCATTTGCAATACAAATGGCATGCCCATTTGGGTAATGCATTATGTTCCTCCCCTTATACTGTCCATTGAGATTCTGCTGGCTCTCACTACAAGAAAAATGGCTAAGCCCATTGCCACAACGGTCATGATTTAAATTATATTGCTCCATGTTCTTGGGAATCCGTTCTCTCTGAGGCTGTATGGTCTCTGCTGAGTTTTCTCGCTGCTCTTGATTATACATAAAGGTATCCTTGTGGGCTCTGGTCACCATGCCAATCACTTCTTCCTTTGCAAAATCAGAAGAGGGAGGAGGAGAGCTTTTGATGTTTTCTTGCTCCAGCTGGGGCTTGGGTCGCAGCTGTTCCTGGGCTGGTAAGGCTGTCTGTTCATGTTCTACTAATGTGTCATTCTGCAAATGACCACTGAACTGGCTGTTCATCATGGTCTTCATCGCACTCTGCATTTCAATTAGCATCCTCTGTTTTTCACGCTTAGGAATACGACCAAACCGAACAGCTATTGAAGAAAAAGATATTTAACATCTATATTCTAAATACGACCTGTTTATAAAGAAAAATAACACAAAATTATCTTTAACAGCTGTGGCCTCTAGTCACACAAGTAAAGAGTATCTACATGTCTCTAACACAAATTATTCTAAACTTACTAGTTGTTTTTGATGTACCATAGGAAGTGAAAGGGAGGGGAGGGGGAGACGTTTCCACTTTCTCCAAAAACAAAGCTAAGATGATCTACCTCTCGGGTGTTTTATAAGCAAAATCTAAGAAACTTGAAATTAACTAATGAAAACCAGAGACTGCAACAGACCAGCAGGACTGCACAGCACCTTATTAACAAGGCTGAAGGCTCAGTTCTTAAAAAGGCACGTGGATTCGGCTACCTGCATCCGTTAACTCTAGTGGAACCTAACAGGCAGTCAATCCCTGAGCATCTGACCCTTGTCAATTCACTTTCATAACCTTATTCCCAAGACACAGCAAAACACAGTCAACAGAAATGCAGTTGCTGAAAAATCAACTTGCTGGATTTTAATTAAAATCAATGAAATAAACATGCAATCACCCATCCTCCGTTATTTTAGAGGCTAGTCTTAGAATATGTCTCCAACGTTCCTATCCCAGAGGGAAAGGGGAAAAAAGCTTCTTTCTAGTCTTTTACACAAAGATAATAAAAATTCAATATACTCACCCAGCAAAAAAGCCTTACTAATCAAAGTGTCTCTGGGACATTATCAGACAAACAATTTCATCATGTTTCACACTCTACACCTCTACTCCCTCTCCTTTACAAATGATAGCCATTTTTATTCTCTTGGGGCAATCACAATATCCATCAACTCTGGATTACTATTTCTAGTACTATAAAAAATTTCCAGGCAATTAAAAATCCCAAACTTCATTTTCTTGAAATCTGTTATTCAAGAAGCTCCTTATTGCAACACTGCATTTCTGGGTCGGTAAGATACTAGAGTTACCTAAGGAATTGCTTAAATGACCCTCCCCCTAAATATGAGGTTCACTCTTAGCAAATCTTAATTAACCCCACTTAAATTAATCCCTCTGAAAACCTCCTACTCCTCTGTAATATTACACAGAACAGAATGAGACTATCCACAAATGTTCTCCCTAGACACAATAGAAGAGTCAAATCTTCCAGTGAGGTCATCCACAGATAATACTAACAGTCCCCCAAATTACCACAACTTCTGTTTTCTGTTGCTCAGTTTCACGCCAGAACTGAGCAACCTCCTCCGCTCCAGACCCTGGTGTTTCTTTCAATTTTGCATCTCCTTTCAATGTATTCAGAATCTATACCCTAAAAGCACATTATCTCAGGGCTGAGAAAGTGATGGAGATAGTTCACATAAAGAGAAATGGATTCATCAGCAATGCTAAGAAATTATGGAGAAAGAGCCACTGATTCCTACATCAAGAAAAACTAAACCTTTTTTGGGGGGGGGGAAGTATTCAAATTGTACAGGGTAAAAAAGAAAAAAATGGGTTTTTTTACAAGAACCAACAAAAAAAGAAGTGAGCCAAAAGCTGTTCCTGGGATGTTGAGGCCAAAATTTGACTTTAATGAATTTGGCAAACTACAAGGCATTAAAATGTGTTTTCTAAAACCTGCATCACCCTAAGCACAAGAGGGCCATTGGTAACTGGTTTACAGCTCTAGTTTATGCTGAGGAATAAAAGCTAAGCTCCATATGCTCTAAGAAAGAACGCTCTTTAAACTGGAAACATACCATCTCTCGACATTCCAACAGACAGACACTTTTTGAAGCGACACTGCTGACATCTGTTCCTATTCATTCTCATTATAGAACAGTTTTCATTCTTCAGGCACTTCTTGTACTGGATGTTTTGCTGAATGCTTCTCCGAAAGAAACCCTAAGGACAAAGGAAGATGTACCCATTCATTTAAAAACATCCAGATGAACTCCTTATAAGTAGCCACCCCCAACCCCTAACTATCCAGTATTACTAGCTACACCTGAGAAATAATTTTGGCTTAGAACCGAGGGAAATACAATCTTGACATATGGGGTTTAACTAGATTCTTAGTAGTATCAGTGAGTACCTCCTTCTTCCTTTTGCAGAATCTTGCTGCTTTCCAAGCATCCCTTGTACTACACTTTACCCTGTTACCAGCCCCTGCCCGCAGCCACATTTTCCAGCTCAACTTTAATCACATACAAATTCCAAAGCTCTTGAAATATGACTTATTTTTAAAGAGTTGACATAAAAATATGCTCCATAGCTATAATCTCTTCACTGGAACTAAGGACTATGTTAGTAGAGCCTGGTTTTTCCTGGATCATTACCTGCTGACACCAGCAAGGCCTACTTATATATACCAGATGTTCCTGGCTGCCTGTCAGCAACAGGTAAGTGTCATACCACACCCACAGACCAACTAATGATCCAAGGAAAGACAGTTCCCAGGTAGATGGCTACAGATAACTGTTTTCACTAAACAATTTGAGCGCATGTACTGTGATAGGTATTTAAAGATCTCCAGCTTAACAGTTCCAAGGAGAATGGAAAAGTCAAGAACACTATTACCAAAAGTATCTTAACTGCAGCTTCCTTGAATATCATACCTAACCACACATTTTATGACTCTATATTAGTAATTGTAGGACACATTTTTATATTTTATTACTGCAATACTATACTTGGGACACGACAATATATGTTAGACTACCTTAAAGAGGGTAGAGAACAAGTATGTGTATTTATCAAGAATACACAATTTGACTCATTGCTTTGTGTTTTTGTTTCTCTAGCTATAAAGTGAGAATGATGCCTGCCCCATAATCACATCACATTTTTGAGGGAAAACAAAAAATGCTGTTTAAATAATTTTTAAAACAGTGGATGCGTGCCACATCTATAGAAAATACAGACCAGCTTGTTAAGTGACCTGGCCATTAAGACCTACCAAAATCACAATTCATTCAGAACCACCCTAGAAAATATTTCTTCTTTCATCATGTATATTCACTATCCTGCTAAACTGGATTCCTGCTTCTAGCCTTCAGTCAGAGAGCAGAAGGAGCATCTGCCTTGGCCATGTTAATTTCAATACTCAGTAGAAAAGAGTGTGCCAGATTTAAAAAGGGAAAGAGAGTGTCCCTGGATATAAGTAGGAGGTATAGACTATCTCCCTTGGAATTATCTGACAGATACTCTAAGAAATATTCATCTAAATTTACAAATACAATGAGCTTTCCCAAGGACTCAATTTATATCCAAGTTTCTTTTACTCACTTAGCATTACTTCCAAAGATACATTTTTGTAAGTATCTAGGAATTATTCCCAACTCCTAGTACCTGACGTGGCAGAATGACAACATATCCGATAAGGGCTATTCAAAGTTTGGATTAAACCTGACACATTAATAAACAGAATTTGTGCACTTGGTTTCATACCATAATTAAATTTGAGTGAGATAGCAAATTTATTTTGATCAAAAGCTTTTAAAAAATACTTTCACTGAATTAAAAATATATTTTTCAAAACAAGTTATGTTTAGATACTACATAAAATGTTTAAGACTTGCCCGGCTGGTGTAGCTCAGCGGTTGAGGATCGACCTATGATCCAGGAGATCGAGGTTCAATTCCCAGTCAGGGCACATGCCCAGGTTGTGGCTCGATCCCCAGTAGGGGGCGTGCAGGAGGCAGCCAGTCAATGACTCTCTCATCATTGATGTTTCCATTTCTCTCCCCCTCTCCCTTCCTCTCTCTGATATCAATAAAAATATATTTTTAAACAAAAATGCTTAACACTTAAAAAGGAGCAGCTTGCTTCTCTCCTCCTCCCCGACTATCCACTGTGGAAACTGGCAAACTTAACTCCAATTTATTAATCCCAGAATCAGTAGCTTAAAGAAACAAAAGCATGCTTTACCTTGCAGCCTTCACAAGCATGAACTCCATAGTGGAATCCTGATGCCACGTCCCCACAGACTTTACACAGTAGAACCATGCCACTAAATTCTAAGGCACAAACAGAAACAAAAGTGAAGACGGGAAAAATTTCAACTGTTTTTCTTAACCAACTGAATATTTTATTTTGTTCAATTTGTAAGTACTTTAAATAGATACAAATATACTTTTATTGTGTAAAAGAAAATTATTTACACCAAATTAACAAATCAAAAGACATCACGGTTTGCCCAGCCAGCATGGCTCAGCGGTTGAGCATCAAACTATGAACCAAGAGGTCACCAGTTCAATTCCCAGTGAGAGCACATGCCCAGGCTGCATGCTTGATCTCCAGTAGGGAGTGTGCAGGAGGCAGCCAATCAATGTTTCTCTCTCTCTAAAATGAATAAAAGCATATTTAAAAAAAAGAAAACTAAAGTAACTTACTTGTCACTCCACTATGACTCTTTGTCATCCCAGGTGCACCTGACTTGCTTGTTTTCATAGAACAATCTATTCGATCATTCTTCAGAATGCCTTCAATACTGGAGAGATCACCACTTTTGGGATTACCATTGTTATCAGAATTAGAGCTATTTGGAGAAGATGGAACAGAAGAGAAGGAGGACTGGAAACTATTATCAGAACCCTCACTGTGACAAGAGGCAGGGCTAGAGGCTGAGCTGGAAGAACTAATGTAGGCAATCACACCTCCTAGAAAAGAAGAGAAATCAGATAATTAGATACATAATATTTTCTAGTTTTGCAAATCTGAATAGTAAAGTCACTAACTTTAGAAATTTGTTACTGATTAAATATCAGCTTATCCCAAAAGGAAAAATAACTTACTTCCTTATCTCCTATTGTAATTCCTGCTTCCACAAAGTTGAAAGCCCATATAATTCCCACTGACTTAAAAAGTGAGAAGGCTCTCACAAGGGCTTAGTTACTAGCACACACAGATCCAGTTTTTCATTTCCCATCTTTTCCTAATATGAATGAAAAACCTTCCTGAGTGACTATATAGCTTAAACAAATTGTTTTGGCAGTGAAGATATCTGGTTCTGGTCCTCTCTTTGTCTCCTTCATTATACCTTTATATGACACAATTCTAGAAACAATTAGTTCATCAATTGCCTCCCCATCACTTGGCTAAAACACAGGTTAATCAAGAACAGATGTAATGCCTGGCTGGCGTCACTCAGTGGTTGAGCATTGACCTATGATCCAGGAGACTGAGGTTTGATTCCCGGTCAGGGTACATGCCCAGGTTGCGGGCTCAATCCCCAGTGGG